TGTTGCGTGTGTGTGTGGTTTCTGTATGGTATCAGCTATTTCACACTTCTTCCGCTAGTGTGATAAAACAAGTCATTTTGTCTGTGGCCTTATAGGACATGCATCAGTGTGCTACACGAGTAAATCTGCAATAGTAGTTGCTGTTATAAAGGGATTTTATACAATTATTCACTTAATTTAAAATGAAATATCTTTATTCAAGTTAATAATGGAAACTACTGAGGTCATTAAGTTTTTCGCATTAAGCTGACCAAGAGAGGCATTAAAAACAATATTTCTATTTTAAATCCTGAAAATACTTTTGGGTAAAAATGGACTGTGGTGGAAACCGGAGCACCCAGAGGAAACCCACGCAAACATGGGGAGAACATACAAACTCTACACATAAAAATGCCAACTGACTTAGCTGGGGCTCGAACCAGCGACCTTCTTGCTGTGAAGCGATTGTGAAAGTACTGTTCAAATGTTTGAGGTCATTATGTTTTATTAGCATTAAACTGACCAAGGGAGTCATTAAAGATTATATTTCTATTTTAAATCCTGAAATCATTATGGTCACACGTTAAAATGTTTTAGATCAAAGTTAGCACATTTCAATGATTTCCAAAAGATGTAATGGCTTTTGAAAATTCAGCTTTGCCATCACGGGAACTATTATATTTTTAATGTAAAAAGGTTATTGTTTAGGGCAGTGGTTCCCAAAGTGGGGGTCACAGAACAATGTTTGGGGGTGGGGGGGGGGTCGCTTGGTGATTTAAAAAACAATTAATGAACTAATAGAATTACCATATTTTAACCATATGCTACAGAAGATAAAAAAATAGTATTTACTAGTTACATAATAAAACAACATGCACATAAGCATTCCATCAGCCTTTCAAATTTTTTCTCTTTGCATTGCGACCCCTGCGACGTTTACTTTATATTAATAATATTAATTGTATTATTTAATTAATTGCATCATTTACAGCAGATTGATTTTACAGCACCATGGTAAACTTTGGCACCTTTACGGCACTACATGTACATTAAAAATAAACTTTTTTTTTTTAAGATTAAAAAAATCCTACACGACTGAAGATAGAGGATGAGAATAGGATGTTTTTAAATTGCTAAGAATAGTCTTGTGCAGTAAACATTGTGCCCACTAGTTTCATAAAATAAGGTTAATGTTACATTAAACAAATGAATAAATGACAAAAAATCATTATTACTGTTACAGTTGCACTTTTTTGTGTTATTAATAAGCTTGTGCTTGTATAGGCCTATTGGTGTGTGCACCATTGTCTGCAATGATTGTATGTGTATATCCACCTTCAAGGATAGCAGGGGTCACGAGTCACTAGAATTGTTATTTTGGGGGTCATGGGCTCAAAAGTTTGAGAAGCCCTGGTTTAGGGTTTCCATGAATCATGGAATTTCTGGAATATCATGAAATTTTAGAAGGTCTGTTGCAAACTTTAAAAATCAGGAAATGTGTATTCATTTTTGTCCAAGTCATGAAATATCAGTGATTATTTGTTTTCTTTATACTATAGTTTCCATATCTCAAACTGTACATTTTTTCTATAACATATTTTTGTATTGCGCTGTTTCATGCCTATTCTTATGGTTAGGCTATATTCATCTCAATTTTATTTTCAAGGGCAACCCCTTAAGTCAAATGCAGCACAAGACTAATTTAAAGAATGACCGCTTCAAAGACTTGAAAGTAAAAAAATAGAGGACAAAAAAGCTCAATTTTAAAGTCTTAAGAAATATAACAAAATTTCAAAAGATAAGGTACATTATCCATTGTTGTTTTAATAGTGCCTAATAAAGTCCTGCAATATGATATTCAAGCTACAACCATTTTAATATTATGCAAAGCACAACTGCAGCCTGTTTTTCCAATCATTAGATGCCATGGAAATCGTTTTTTTAGTCAAAGATTTTGATATTTGGCTTAAAGTGGGAACCATAGTTGTAATATTTGTTTTAATTGTATTCTTGATTAAATATATGCAGCCTTGGCCAGAATAAGAGATGTCTAAACCTAATGTTTTCCTATCTTGATTTAAAAAAAAAACAACAACAAAAAAACAAAACAAATGCAGTACCTTTGTTGGAAGATGTGTATCATACTAATCCGACTTCTGAAAAAATAAACCACAGGTATCCCTTCTACATGTTGGCCTGCATTGACACTGAATGGAAGTTGCTGACTTGGTTGAGATACACTATATGGATGCCGCTGTACCCTCTTGGAGTGCTAGCTGAAGGTTTGTTTTCTTTCTGTCAATGAAAATTCATGTAACATGTAACATACAACAATGTACATACTTAACTTTTATTTGACTTGTGTTGTTCACAGCTGTGGCGGTGATCCAGTCCATCCCCATTTTTGATGAAACCAAACTCCTCAGTATTCCTCTGCCTAAAGCCACTGGCCTCTCTCTCAGCTTCTCCTACATCCTGCAGCTCTACCTGGTAGTCATGTTCCTGGGTAAGATCCACAACATACATGCAACAAGTACAGCAGTGCTAGCATGGTGTTTCTCAATCACTTGTCCAGCTTTTTCTGATTTAGTACAGTCGGATTTCTAAAAATATTTTTAATAAAATTATAAATCAAATTACTAGCCACATTTATTAATTGGGTTCAAATTAAAGGTCCCATGAAATTAAAATACAAAGTTATTTTAGATGTTAATAACAGTATTGTTAGTTTTTAGGATATCTATAAGCTAGTGGACCAAAACAGTGACAAAATTCATGTAGAGGATATAAAATTGAAATAAACATGTAAAGCTTGTAGTTTGTCACTTCTGCCCAAATGGATCAGCGGTTTTATTCACATCACCTCATACTACAGTTTCTCATCAAATCTTGACCTATCAAATGCTCTCTAGTATCTGACATACCCCGCCCCCTTCAAGACACTTCACATTTGATGTGCTAGAGCTCAACGTCTCTCACTGGCAGAACGGTGATAAAGCAAAACGCTATTGGCTGTTTAGAAAGGGGAGATGCTACACTGTCCCACTCGCTAAGTTCTGCAGTTAATCTGTGAGCTACAATGTAGAATGCTTAGAAAAAGATAATACTTTACAATGATTTTAAAATGTGTTTGGTTAAATTGTAATAACATCAAGCTTTATATACATTTTTTCCCTGATTTTACCTAAACATTGAAATTAAAATATACAGTAACTGTAATAAACAATTATTTTTGTGTGTGTGTGTGTATATGTATGCATGTAGGTATATATGTATATGTATGTATGTATGTGTGTGTGTGTGTGTGTGTGTGTGTGTGTGTGTGTGTGTGTGTGTGTGTGTGTGTGTGTGTGTGTGTATATAATGTATATATATAAATGTATATATGTATATATATATATATATATATATATAAATGTATATATGTATATATATATATATATATATATATATATATATATATATATAAATGTATATATGTATATATATATATATATATATATATATATATATATATATATATATGTATATATATGTATATATGTATATATATGTATATATGTATATATATGTATATATGTATATATATGTATATATGTATATATATATATATATATGTATATATGTATATATATATATATATATATATATATATATATATATATATATATATATATATATATATATGTTTCAACCATGTCTACAATAATTATTTTTTAAATTAATTCAAATGTAATTTTGTAATAGTTACATACATAATATACACTGTAAAAAGTAAACCAGTTAAACTGACCTGAAACTGAAAAACGAAAGTTAAGATAGTCCTTTTTTCCCCATATCGCAACGTACATAAAAATTGAAATTATTCCAAAATAACAAGGGGCTGTTCATGACTTCATCCTTTGATAGGTCCTCTCAAAAGGCATTCCATGTGACCAGAAGTGAAGAAACGTTGTTTCAAGGGGCAGGGGAAATGATTTGATAAAAGATTTTGAGGGCAAATAAATTTGTACAAAACAATAAAGTGCATATATATGTTGTTTATACCCAGCACTACTACTTCTACTACTACCTCCACACACACACACACACACACAAAAAAGTATGTGACAAGTTAACTCTCGAGAGTCAACTTGGAACTGGTAAGTTGATTTGGCCATTTTTTTTTTATAATTATGTACCTAGTTCATTTAACTTATAATATGGGAATAGATTTACTTAGAAAAAGTCAACTAATCACTTTTTATATCTCTAGTTATGTTTCAAACAAGTATTTAGTAAACCCTTACAGTAATTTGTTAATATCAAAAGAGGATTTACCTTGGCATTAGGCGTACCTAAATCTGACTCCAAATATCTGCGCTAAAAATAAATTGCGATTACACATGGATAAATTTGAGATATTTTTCTAAAATTTAATTGTTATTACATTTTCTTGATATTTTCAGGTTCTTGACTGTAGAAACCCTGTTACACTGCCGTATGAAATTAATAATTCTTCATTTCAGGCCTGTTCATCAACTTCCGCCACCTCTTCAAGCAGAGGACCAGACGCTTTCGCACAAAAAAGAGGAAAGCCAACTGAGAGGAAAGAGCAAGCTTCAATCTCCTCCTGCGTCTCTGATTTCATTTGTCGCCTTCATTCTTTTTTCCTACATGTCCTCTTTTACAGTCAAGTCATTACAGATGGAAAAAAAGTTTTTAAACTCAACTCAAGTGCATTTACTGTCACCACACTGAAGGACCATGACCGATTATGAAACACTAGAGGGAGAAATATCATATAATTTTAACCTGGACCATGAAGGTATTTGTAGATTCTATCATCTCCTCTGTTTGCAGTTTTTGTGTTTGATGTTGTAGATTAGCTTACTCGACTGAAAACACAAGGGGCATTTTATCTCATTCCCTGAAATGTGTTGTAATAGTCATTTCAGTTGAAAACAACAAGACAGACCTCAGGGAAAACCTCACGGAAGAGGCAATTCAGTGTCACTGGATGTGGGATATGTACACGAATGTATAAATGCAACGGTTTAATTAAATTTCAATGAAACAAACAGTTGATTCCTGGATTACTATCATTAACTACAGACAGTGAAAATATTATTAGTCAATGCTCAAACTTATTTACACAAACTGCATGTTTTTTTCCTTCCTTTTCTCGAATTGAGTGCTCAACGTCATTATTGATCTCACTAAAGTTCAAGGTTTCCTTTTGTTTTATATCCATCACCAAAGAAAACTATTATGGCACCACTAAAACGATGCCACATTAGTAACAAATTTTCCTTTCGGACAAACATTTCACACAGAGCAGAGTTTTTAAAATAAAGCTCCATTCCTCCAAATCTGATCTGGCAGTTGTACCTCCATCCTCTAAATTCTGTCGCCACCTCCGCCTGAGAAGTCAGTGAGCATTGGGGTGATGTTGTGTTCGAAGGCGGCGTATTTGGAGTCTATGCTGCTGGCAAGTTTAAGCTGCTGGGCTGCGTGTGACAGCTGGAAGGCGGCATCGGGGTGGGCAGAGTCAGGCAGAAGAGTACATTCCCTTTCCAGAAGCTCAGCCATGCTCTTCAGGAGCTCCCAGAAACCAAATGCCAGAGCAGCTTTCCGAAGACGATTTAGTTCCTGAAGTAATTAAAACACAAATGTAATGCACAGAAAAAACAGCTCACATATACAGTCCAAGCCTGGATTTATTCATATCCCTAGCCAAATTCTGACTTTTAAGTTTTTGTTTAAAGTCTATAAGAACCGGAAGCTGACCAATTGTTATTTTGTATTGTGAAGCAGTTCCTAATGAAAGGGAATATTAAATGAGAAAACAGTGGGTATGGCTTGTTTTTTCTACTGCGAGCTGATTAGAAGAGATATTTTAACCTAATAGACTCCTCGACCTTTCCATTTGTTTGTTGTCAAAATTGACAGTTGTTTTTTTTGGGGGGGGGGCTAAATTATGTTATGCCTAAGATGCGTAATCTGAGAACTTATTTGAAAACAAATAGGAAGTGCACTTTCAGAGTTCAATTAATGATTAAGAGGACAAACAAAATACAATGATGCCTTTTGTAAATCCTCTTATTACCTTTAGAGGGAAGCCAGAAAAAATACTTGTTGGTTGAATAAAAGTAAAAAAAAACTTTCCAGGGGAGTATGAGTGATTTGGGGTTTAACTGCATATGCACTGGTGTCACGATGGTGCAGTGGGTTGCATGATTGCCTCACAGCAAGAAAGTTGGTTCCCCCACAGTCCAGAGACATGCAGTAAAGTTGAATTGAATAAACTAAATTGGCTGTAGTGCATGTGTATGATTGCAAGAGTGTCTGGTTGTTCCCTGGTGTTGGGTTGCAGCTGGAAGGGCATCTGCTGTGTAAAACATATGCTGGATAAGTTGGCGGTTCATTTCCCTGTGGCAACCCCTAATTAATAAAGGGACCAAGCTTAAAATAAAACAAATCAATGTATATGCACATACACATTGTACTTTTAGGAATATCAATTTCAATGAGACTAATATTTAAATTTACACAGACACTAACACACACACAAAATAAAATTGTAATACACACACACATTCCAAAAGGTCTAAATAATTTTTTTTTCCAAATTTCTGATAAAAAATAGTGGCATTATATTCTGTCAGAATTACAAATGCTGTTATTTGTTGAGATCGAAAATAATTTTTTCAATTTTGATGTAGATTGTCACCCATTGGTAGGGCCAAACGGAATCTGCGGACGTTTTTTTTGCTATTACTGCTGAGAATTTTGGTAAAAATCTGCGGATTTCTGCTGAATTGTTTTGAGAGTATCATAACTAAAACCCTAATATATATATAATAAAAATATCCTTTAAACTTTTATTTAATGTTTAAAATGCAAATCCAATTCAATCCACTTTTTATGGTAAACAAAGCAAGTCTCATATAATACCTCTACTTGCAGTTTCAGTCACTTCTGTATTAGATTCACAAGGGAGAGCGGAAGGTTGCCGCTTAGTTAAAACACTGGAATTATTCTATACAACTATATTTTGTGGGAGTGTATACAATTACCCACCTTATAGAAGGTTTGTGTTTTTTCAGGTAGTTTTCTTGCATTGCGGAGAATTTTCTGTACATCTGTCTACAAGAAGTACAAGAAGTGATTAATGTCATTTAATCTGTGTTTTGTCAGAGATCCAGTATTTGCAGTGTAGAGTTGTGATACCTGCAGTCCACTGGCTTTAATCCAGACAGTCACATTCTGAGCATAGCTCCTCTTGTGTTTCGGCTGGATGGGAAAAGGACTTTTACTGTCATCTTCACCATAGGGATTTTCAGCTGCATCTGCAAACAAAGAATCATAGTGATGTTCAGAGATGTTTATACCGTTGGCCAGTAAGCAAAACCTTATGCAAATCAATAAGCTGATGTTTTTAATCATGTGTGTGCGTGGTCTGAGTAGAGCTCTAGCCTCGGAAGGAACTAAAGCGTGAGGGTGGAAAATAAATATTTAATCATGCAAATTTGCGGCACTACTGTTATCCCTGACCCTTGTGTATTTACCTACAAGTCTCCTAACTGAACTCGGTGAACGTCTATGTTACTATCTTTTGTTTCAGTGTTTTAATTTTTAACTGCTTGCACACACTGCATAATGCAAAACAAAGCAGTTAATTGTTAATTTATTTCATTTTAACATGTACATTTGCAATTTAAATGTGCACTGGCATTCAGGAGTTTCCGATTGGCAAGTTAAAAAACACGCCTTGTTGTTTCACCAAGGCTACATTTATTTAATCAAAAATTCTATAAAAAACAGTAATATTGTGAAATACTGAAACCTAGTCCATAGTTCAGTTGTTGTACTAACATCACAGTACAGTTACTAACTCACTGGTTCTCAACTGTGTTATTCAGACAAACATACACCGCCACCCCCTTAACCACCCCCCTCCCCCATTTACTAGCCTAAATAGCCATAACCTAAATAGCCAGGTGTGTCACGTTTTTGGATCCCTTTAAAACATTTCTGCTGTGTTCCGTTCTATTTCAGAATTTGATGTTGACTTTACAAATATTGTCATAACTAAGAAAACAAATGGTTCATATTCCTCAAACCACAAGAAAGGAATAGTGGTCACCCTAATATTGTCCCACATTGAAACTGTATGCCATCTGGTGGTGATGTTTAGTACTGTGCCCAAACCAAATCTTACTGAAACTCTTTGAGATATCAACTTCAAATTTGGAATATTTTTTTTTTTCAGATATTTAGCTTGGATGTTCTGTCATTTTTAGGCTAAAACAGGTTTCGAAAAATACATATTTTATGTAACATATTCAAATAAACATTTATTTTTATAATAAAAATAAAAAAACTAAAGGCTTTTTTAAGTTTTCTTTAACTTTTTGCTAATATCTGACATCTGTGTTCTTAACATTTATGCACCAAAGTGTTGATTGCTAATCATTTAAGTTGAACATCTCATTTTCATGTCAGTGTTCAAAAAGTGGGGGTGCCAGCTAAGGGCTTAAGAAGCAATTTTTTAAGCATGGCGATTATATAAAAATTCCAAGTGAAAACATGCTACCTGAAGCAGGACCAAGCTGTGACATTCTGCCTAGCCAGGGCAGAGGTTCGGAGCCGGGATCAAACAGAGACATCATGAGGTTGGACTTCTTTTTACTGTCTGCCTGGGAATAAAGCATGCCGTACCAGTCCGGCCTGATAGAAGAAACATGCATTCATGAGCACAGAAACTTTTATTACAGTACAATGCTTATAAAAGCGAAGACATGTTTTTTTTCTCATTTTCATACCCTAGCTGTACAAGTGCCACCATGCCCTCCACCTTCAGGCTGCCGTGTAGAAGAACACAGAAGTTTGGGCTTTTTCCAGCCATCTGATTTGTGGAGGTGTCTTCCTCTGTGTCATCAGTGGTGCCCGTACCTATCTCATCTCCCTCTGTCAATCAAAAAAATATGACTGACTGTTACTCCCAGACAAATTTTTGTAAAGCAACCATGTACATCAGATCAGTGGTCACCAAACTTGTTCCTGGAGGGCCGGTGTCTTGCAGATTTTAGCTCTAACCCTAATCAAACACACCTGAACAAGCTAATCAAGGTCTTACTAGGTATACTTGAAACATCCAGTCAGGTGTGTTGAGGCAAGATGGAGCTAAATCCTGCAAGGACACTGGCCCTCCAGGACCTGGATTGGTGACCCCTGATATACATGAACAAATATATGAATAGAACTTTCAGTTTAATCTTATGGCTTGGGAAATAATATATATTTTTTAAATAAAACACATAAAAACAATATAAATTAGAAGATTTGTCATTTCTAGACATCAAAATGATTAAAGATTAGAGTTTTAATTTTGGGGTGAATTATCTCTTTAAAACAGTGTATTGAATGGTCAGATTTTCAGAATGATCAGAATTCTAATTTATAAGCTTTTTTAATCTAATTTCAGATTAGTTTTAGAATACTAAAGTATGTAATAGGGGAAAGGCAATAAAACATCGGAGTCACTGTTTTAGTGGTACATTGACAGTTAACTGTTTTTAAAATATCACTGAAATGTTTATGATTAATATATATAGTTTGGGTAAAAAACGTTGCTTAAAAAAAGCTATTTGTGAGAAGGCATAGGCCTTCGAGATTCTGATAGTATGATAACCCTGGATAAAAATATGATGGTTTTAATGCATCACTTTATTGCTATAACTGCTCTAAAATAAGTTCTTTTTAAATGTCTAGGGGGTGTCACGGTGGCGCAGCGAGTAGCACGATTGCCTCATAGTGGTGAGGTCACTGTTTCGAGCCTCAGCTGGGTCAGTTGGCATTTCTGTTTGCATGTTCTCCCGGTGTTCACGTGGATTTCCTCTGAGTGCTCCGGTTTCCCTCAGAAGTTCAAAGGGTACTGAATTGTCGTAGGGTAGGCTGAATTGTCCATAGTGTATGAGTGTGAATGAGAGTCTATGGCTGTTTCCCAGTGATGGGTTGTGGCTGGAAAGGCATCTGCTGCCTAAAACATATGCTGGATAAGTTGACGGTTCATTCCACTGTGGCAACCCCAGGTTAATAAATGGACTAAGCCGAAAAGAAAATGAATGAATGAATGAATAAATGTCTAGGTGAAAAAACCAACAACTTTTTGTTGGATATAAAGTAAACCATCGCACTGTGCAGGGCTATATCAAGCTTGGATTTTGGTGCATAAGCAATTGGTTTTTCTAATTTTTTCCGAATTGTGGGCTGACCACAGCTTTGGATGTACAGTAGATGGTCCTATGCTGCTGGATATACTATTGCCCTAAATGAATAAAATAGTCTTTGACAACAAGTAAAATTAAACTATATATATTTTATTTATGCCACAGGAATGGTATAACAGAAAATTTCCAAACCACTGTAAACCTTAAAACCGGTTCTCAACCCATGCCATGAGTAACTGAAACCACAACCCACCCAGATTAAATAATTTTCTGAACAATACAATTGCATTAAATGTTCAATTACATAGATTTTACTCAAAAAGTGCTATTTGTGAGTAAAATAATAAAAACAATCAAAATCTTCACTGGTAGTAAAATGTAAATGTACAAAGAAATTTTGGAATTATGCTGTTTAAGAATCTAAATTATTATTACATTACACTAAGTGTCTCACGACATGAGTTTTTTCTCCATTACAACCGAAGTACTTCAAATAAATAAAGAAATGTGATAGCACTGACCTTTGTTCACAGCAATGGGCAGGACCAAATGCCTAGATAAAACAGGAGGGCTGGAAATATCTCCAATCTCAATAAAACCCACAATCTCCAAGTCTATATGTGACAAAAGGTTACATAACCATTATTGGTACTTTCCTACAATTTCTTCATCATTTAGATTACATGTAAATAAACACATTTTAGTTGTATTTATTGCTAATTATCCTTTATTTACATGGATATAAAACACATATGTTGACAGCACAACTTTCTGCTCTTACCCGTTTGCACATTTTTGGGCATGGGATCCACCTCTTCATCGATGATGACCGGCTCTGGCCTGGGGAAGACCTGCACATCAGAGGTGAGGTTTCCACAGCGCAGCACCGCATGGAAAGGAGAGTAAGCCTGGTCGATCAGCTTACTGACAACACAAAAGTGCAGTGAGGATGTTAAATGTGTTCCATAAACAATGTGCACTTAAAGTATTTAAATAAACGAACATAAATGTAAAGATATTTGTATCATCACTCACCCGAACATTGACTGGACACTTTTAAGACAGAGGGGTCCCTCCATAGTGTATATCTGTCCATCTCCACCGTTCAGGTTAATCAGTTGTTCTAAATTATCCATACCATCTGTAGCCTGGAGCTTAAGGAGACGAGAAAAGAACAAGACTGAAGCATATGTATGGAAAAATATTAATTTTATTAATCTAATATATAATTACATATATTACAATTCCTGAACATCTCTTTTCTTCAATCAACTGCTCCATATTTTATTATAAACAAAACAATTATAACCATATCATACACCATTTTTATTTTAAATGAGTCTTTGTTAAAACAAATTTATTTTAATGACACCCACTAAAATGTCATTCAGTATAACAAGTCTTTTTGACAAGAATCATTTTAATGACAAAGAAAGACTGCATTTAAGGATTGCAGCCCCAAAATATTTATTTAATGGCTTTTTAAATCCTTATAATTTATCACTATACTAGAAATAACTAGATTTTCTAGATTGTCAGTAACTTGTTTTAAATAACATATTGTTTTCGTAATTCATAATTGAATTAGTACAGGACAGTATAAGTATGTTATTTAATTTTCATATAATATCTGTTACATTGAATGACAAGGGAACATTATTTCATCTGTATATTTTGAGATTGCATTTTCACAAATATTATTATAAAACATTAAAGCAAAACTTACAATACAACATAATATAAAATAATATAATATATAATAATATAATATATTGAACATAATATATTGTAATATAATACTATAATTAAAATAAAATAATATAATAAATTGTAATATAATATATTGTAATATAATGCTATAAATAATATAATATAATATAAAAAATATATTGTAATATAAAACTATAATTAAAATAAAATAATATAAAAATATATTGTAATATAATACTATAAATAAAATAATATAAAATAATAAAATGTAATATAATACTATAGTTAAAATAACATAATATAATATAATATAATATAATATAATATAATATAACATAATATAATATAATACATCCACTTCAAACATTGACTACTGTATGAAATTATAATGGTATCTCTATGATACCTAAATGCGCATTAAAACTTAAAAAAGGTTGGAACAATTGTGTGAACTATTCCTTTAAAGACAAAATGAAAACAAACTGTAATACCTCCTCCGCATTGGCAATGCACATGATGTAGAGTTTGGAAGGGAATGGGAAAGGCAGAGGGAATTTCTTGTCCTCTCCTCTCTGTTTGACAGTTTGCAGAGAGTGACGCAGAGATCCACGGCCGATGCCCAGTGCTCCGTCAGTGACCAGCACCACCTGCAGGCCAACAGAACAACAACAGAAACACACAACAACAACGACATGATGAATGCAGTCAAAACCACCAATTAAGCACAGAATATGCAAATAATTATTTGAAAAATATAAACAGAAACAATTACTCTACTGTTTATTATAAAGGTTTAATGGTCAAACGTTGTGATAAAGTGGATAAAGTACCATAACTATAACACTCTACACACCAATATTAAAAATCTTTCTAATTCATTTACTGAGACATCTTAATAACAAAACAAATTTGCAGAGTACAAATATTGGCAGATAATATACAGTACAATGCAAGCAATTTTAAAAGTCAATTGTACATTTATATCTTTCTCTTAGATATTCTACCTTGCACTGAAAAAATATTGCATAATTTGTATTATCTTATATCTGTATATTACTGTCATACTGAAATGATTTAACAAACTAATCTCTGAAATGAACACTTAAACGGTGCATTTTCTGCAAAGCTTGAAAACTGTAAGTATTGTAAAGAGCAAATACACAGTACATATAGTTCTAAAATGTTCACATCAAATTAAATGTACCAAACTGATTTTATATTCATGCAAAGCATACAAAGTTGAAGTAAAATGCCTACTTTAGTGTTACCAAAAAAATAACTACTGTGAAAAATGTCAGAATATAGAGATGAAACATATTTATTCTGATGTGTACTTATTAAAACACCTAAAAGAATAAGTGAGCATACTAAATTGTATTGAATGCTAAATTATTGAAATGTTTTTCTTACATATGGATTAAAGCTTGGTTTGAATTATACATTACTGACAAATCAAATTAGTATTTTGGAGCTGCACTGTTACCTTTTTAATGTAATCTAATGATTCTTATACTATATGTGCATGATTTTTGTTTGTATAAAAACAATTGTAACAGAGATTGCCATTTTAAATCAACCTAATGATGTTGCAATTATTTATTAAAACTACATTACACACCACACGTATACATGTTTTACATAGTATATGTATATTACATAAATAATATTTGTATGTTGATTTACCTGGCATGGACAAGCAGATCCCCACTCCTGCTGTACTACATTACTAACACCTTGTAAAGCTCCTTCCAGGCAGGTTTTATCATAGTCTTCAAGGTTATTCAAGGCTTCCTGGAAGAAATAAGATCTTGATTTAGGTTTCAGCTATAGCATGTACATTTTTCTTTCATGCAACACGACACACACTTTTTATTTTACCTGCAATGTATTGTAGTCTCTAGTGAAAGGCACCATTAGCTCCCAAAGCGAGGAAAAGGCCACAAGTGAAGTGAACTCCAGCTTGTAGTTTGTGGCCATGTGCTCAAACAGCATGGTTAGTCCATGAACTGCCAGGTTCTTCCTCTGAAACTCTTCACTGCCCTCCACTGACACCGGTCGCGTCATGGACAGCGACGAGTCCATAAGAACCACCGTGGGCATGTTTGCAAGCTGTTCTCTTTACACGCTGAAGAACAGTTATGAATGAATATAGGAGATATCTGCGGAAAACAAAAGCACAGGTTGGTGTATTAACAGATGCTTCTGCAGTGGACGTTCTCGTCAAAGTACATCCAGAAAATTTTTTACCCCTGCTATCATTTTACTCACCAACAACTTTAATATCTAAAAAACAATATTAAACTTTCTAAAATCATTTCAGCATCGATATCACAATGTGGCCATTCACAATAGTCACATTGCAGAAATTACAATATTAAGTCTGGATTATGCTTGATAAGTTTGCATGTGTCAAAGGATTTTAAAACTATTCAGGCATAAGAATTTGTGCCATTTGTACATTTAATAACTATTTTGTTTTATCATTTATACAATGAAGACTATGCAGTATTATTTTACATTTGATAATTCAATTACTGTTGACCTGAACACACTAAGATTCCTCAAAACAACAACAACAACAAAACACTGTTTATATCATTTGAATCTGTTTACATTATATCCATCTGTGCTTGTAGATTGTTTCTTATATTTTGTGCAGATGCACTGCCCGAAATAATCATCCCAATCTATCTAAAATGATACATTTTTTCCAAATAGACAGTCATCTAGTGAAATTGTATTAATTTCGATATATGAGAAATGTAAACAAAAACAATGGTCCAGACTCCCAACACATTTCCTGTTTCACATTTTTAATTTCTATAGCATCCAAGAATCCGAGAGCCACATATTGATAAATAATGCTATGATAGCTGTATTAACATTACGTTATGATTTGTTTGATAACAAGCAGGAAATGTTCATGGGCCAATGACATGACCACATTGAATTGGTCTAGGTATGTATCAGAATTTAAAAATATATTAATGTTACATTTTTCCAATACCGCTACTCGTTCTAAACCTGTTTGAATTTCATAATGCTGATCAAAAGACATTTGGATGAATGCTGGAAGCTTGTGAAAGTTGACATACTCAGTATTTTTGTTTCATATTGTAACGTTAGATGTCAATGACTACTAGTTACCAACATTTCTTAAAATATCACCCGTTATGTTCAATAGAGGAAATAAGCTCAAAGGTTGGGAAAAAAATTAAGGATGGGTAAATGTTGAGTAAACTTTAATTTTTGAGCATGGTAGAAATATACTACATTAATCGCGTTTGTGCTTTAATATGCGAATAAACAGGAAAGAGGCTTTGAAGTTTTCTAGTTGTTTGATTAACTGGTCTCCGAGTTTACAGCTCATAGTTTCCAAAACCAACCCACTGAAAGGCCAAGAAATCATCTCAGGGTGTTTAAATCTGGTTTCTCAGCTAGGTACATATAAAACGTTTTAAAATATATTTTAATACTTTTTTAAAGGTAGTAGAGCAACCAAAACAAAATATGTAATGTAATGAGAGTTACATTATCAGTGACCAAACGTCAGTGACCAAACGTTCACCCTGAAAAACATTAAATGATCATAAAAGTATAAATACAATAAATTCTTGATATTTTTAATACAACGCGTAGGTAAGCATAACAACCTTCGTTTATGAAAAAGCGTTAAAATGTTTACCCATTTCTGCAAATCCTCTCTTCTTCTTCACCAAGCGCGCACCGTAATAAGCAGACCGGTGGGGAACAAAAGAAGCCTACCAATCCGTTCCTACTCGGAAACGAGAGAGATTCTAAAAAGTTGTGTGAAACTATCACTCTCTCACTTTGTGTTTGTTTGTTTTAAAAAGTGTAAAGATGGAAAACGAGTAAAAAATTGCATGTCCTGAAACCTATAAGCCTAATATCACCCCGGGAATAAAAAATATATTTACAATTTTAATACTAATCTGTAATCCATAGTTCATAAAGATAATTACCAATAATTACAAAAGAGAAATTATTTTCTCGAAGTAATTGTTAGCCTTCGATTTGTATTTTTCTAGCCACTTTACATCGACGTTCAATTTCTGGGAATTGTGAATGAGACGCAAATGATCAGAATAATTGTGCTAAAATGGCTGGAGGAGTAATGAGAGTGTGGGGTGAGAGTACATCTAATCCTCTTAAAAGACTTCAGGTATTAGTTTTTGTGCTGATCCACGCTGAAGAGCCTGTCCTGCGGTGCGTCCTGCTTGACCTGAAGCCGCTCTCTCTCAGCATCCGCGCCTTCCCTGCAGTCCAGCTGTGAGGGAGAGAGAGAGAGACGTAGCGCTCATCGCATCGCCCGACGACCGGTACGTTTCTTTAAGCTTAACTATAATTAATTATGACATTAGTAGAATAAGTATTAATGTGCATATCTTTGATAATATATTTCATTAAGCTATTTTAGGATTTGATACAGCACTGATACAGCTTGACAGCAACAGTTGATGACACTTTGTATTTCACTATTCATTCCGTTTCGTTTCACACAATGATGCTCAGTGTTTCACTGTTTTTGTGGAAATTGCTTAATGGCAAACGGTTGACAAAACTTTACACTGTAGATGCAATCTGTTTAACACGGTTTTGTTTAGAGTAAAATGTTCGAGATTTTTTTCTTTATTAATTTATTTAAAAGCAGTGTAAAAAGGTTGTGTATTATCATCATTCATTATTACTATGCAGTATGATTTTTATGACACTTTACCTGAATTAAATAGCATTTTAAATAGATAGATAGATAGATAGATAGATAGATAGATAGAAAGATAGATAGATAGATAGATAGATAGATAGATAGATAGATAGATAGATAGATAGATAGATAGATAGATAGATAGATAGGCACAGAGACTGACCATTTAGAAACAGGTGATAATGTAAATGAACCTACTTTTGGATCTCATTCAGCTGTCACCCCCCACTTTTAAAATGTAAGTATCTATATATAGTCGATATAATCTATAGATAGATAGATAGATAGATAGATAGATAGATAGATAGATAGATAGATAGATAGATAGATAGATAGATAGATAGATAGATGGGCACAGAGACTGACCATTTAGAAACAGGTAATAATGTAAATGAACCTAAAGTTTTGGATCTCATTCAGCTGTCACCCCCCACTTTTAAAATGTCCGCTACACTATCTATCTATCTATCTAGATAGATAGATAGATAGATAGATAGATAGATAGATAGATAGATAGATAGATAGATAGATGATAGATAGATAGATAGAAAGATAGATGATAGATAGATAGATAGATAGATAGATAGATAGATAGATAGATGATAGATAGATAGATAGATAGATAGATAGATAGATAGATAGATAGATAGATAGATAGATAGATAGATAGATAGATAGATAGATAGATGATAGATAGATAGATAGATAGATAGATAGATAGATAGATAGATGATAGATGATAGATAGATAGATAGATGATAGATAGATAGATAGATAGAAAGATAGATGATAGATAGATAGATAGATAGATAGATAGATAGATGATAGATAGATAGATAGATAGATAGATAGATGATAGATAGATAGATAGATAGATAGATAGATAGATAGATAGATAGATAGATAGATAGATAGATAGATAGATAGATAGATATATAGACAAACAATTAAATTGATAAAAGCTTGAATTTTCTTATGAATTAATAGCATTTTGTTGCACTGTATAACCCAATAAATTAAGGAAACTCAAACCGCTTAAGGAAATCGATTGCAAAAAAAAAACATTTAACTTCAAAAACTAATCCTAATGAGTGCTGTGAACTTAATCTATTTGAGTTAATAAAGCAATGTGAGCACAGTAAAACCCAATCAATGAAGAGAACTCAAACCCACTGAGTATACTGTAAAACCTAATGAGTTAAGGTAACTCAAACCATTTGAGGAAACCGATTGCTACAAACCATTTGCGTAAAAATAATAATCTATTTGAATACTGCGAACTTACTCCATCTCAGTTGAAGTAATTTAATTAACTCATTACCTTCGACATTACATTGAGTCCAAAACTCTTTTCAAATGAGTAGAATTACCTTTCAGTCAATTTTGAGTTAACTACACTCATTTCATTTGATAAAGTTGACTGTTGGGTTTTATAGTGTTTTTCAGTAGCAGTTTTATCAATTTTGACAAATTTCTGATGTTTGATCCACTTTTAAAGAGTGTCTCTTACAATGATTTCCAAAATATTATCAGTTTAATCCAATGTAACGTGTTGGTTAGATAAGGTGTAAGTCTTAGAACAGCCTTAGGAAAGTAGCGTAACGTCCACTGTAATCTGCTGATCCTGCATTCAGTGTTGTTTATGCAACTGTTGCACTCAGTGTTCCTCCTTTTATCTTCTGTAAGGTCTGTGAGAGGAAACCTCAGCATCACAGAGAAAATGAGATGAAACAGTCTGAGAGTGAGTCCTGCATACCCCTGCATCTTTTAGCGGGAGGTTCTGGGTGTCACAGCCCTAAAAAACAACTCTGTGCCCTTTAGGAAACACACTAGAAAATGTTCCTGACTCGAAGGAAGAGACTTCATCTCAGCCGGATTATATTTCTTCTGTCCGGGGTTTTCCTTTGCTCTTTATATCAACTCACGATCAGAGCCAGACTTCCAGATCCCTGGCCCGAACCCCAAAGAGCCGGAGACCCTGAGGATGGCTCTGGACTTGCCCTGGAAGGAGGACTGTCTGAAATGCCAGAAGTCATGACTAATTCGACCACTGTTCACCCAAAAAACTCAGATGAAGTCCGTTCATCAGAGACTGTAACCAATGCACCTGTCCTAACAACATCTACTACAACTGAGGCACCTTCCACAACAACAAACAGGACAATCGTCCACTGTATCTATGTGGATCCAGACCTCCCAAAACCCACTCCAGTTCCAACTCCAGCAACTGAAACGACCACTCTGGTGCCCAACACTACCGCGTCCCAACCTGGAGATGCACCACACATGAAGGGCGAGTATCCGGAGGACATCTTTTCCATTGAGGATCGACGCAAAGGCTGGGTCTCTCTCCATATTTTTGGAATGGTATACATGTTTGTTTCTTTGGCCATCGTCTGCGACGAGTTTTTTGTCCCAACTTTAGGGGTTATAACAGACAAACTGGCCATCTCTGATGATGTAGCCGGGGCGACGTTCATGGCCGCTGGAGGCTCAGCTCCTGAACTTTTCACCTCTTTGATTGGAGTCTTCATTTCTCATAGCAATGTGGGCATTGGGACCATCGTTGGCTCGGCTGTTTTTAACATCCTCTTCGTAATTGGAATGTGTGCACTGTTTTCACGCGAGATGCTTCACCTCACCTGGTGGCCTCTCTTTCGGGACGTGTCCTTCTATATCCTGGATCTCATCATGCTTATCATCTTCTTCCTGGACAACACCATTATGTGGTGGGAGAGCATGATGCTGGTGGGAGGTTATGCTCTATATGTAACCTTCATGAAGTTCAATGTTCAGTTAGAGCGCGCCTTTAAGTCTCAGCTCAGCAAACACAAGAGCATCGTCAAAGTCATTGCGGTGGAAGAACCAGAGAAGGTACGTCTAATTGTTTTTGCTTTGGGTCAGATGGATTTGGCTACATGCCTCATGTGCAGGGCAGAACAATTTTGGCTATTTCTCCACAGAATTTTGTAAAAAAAATCTGATCAGATTTATGTGGAATGATTTTGAGAGTACAAGATCTGAAAAGAGTGGCAGAGTGGCTCAGTGGTTATCACTGTCACTTTGTAGCAGTAAAACGTCACTGGTTTGAGTCCCGGCTGGGCCAGTTGACATTTCTGTGTGGAGTTTGCATGTTCTCCTCATGTTCGCATGGGTTTACTCCGGGTGCTCCGGTTTCCCCCACAGTCTAAAGGCATGCAGTATAGGTGAATTGGGTTAACAAAAATTGTCTGTAGTGTTTGAGTGTAAATGTAAGAGTGTTTCCCAGTACTTGGAACATAGTTGGCGAGTCATTCTGCTATGGCAACCCTTTGATACATAAGGGAATACATAAGCCGAAGGAAAATGAATGAATGAAGATCTGAAAACTTTCATTTAAGTTTTAAAAAGCAAATTCAGTTAAAACCACTTGTTTTGTAAATAAAGCTGCAGTAAGTCTTTCATATAATATATCTGCAAAAATTATACTGTACATAAATTCTGTAAACATTTGCATTTTATTCAATCATTTTACTGAAATTAATATTAAACATGAGTGTCATGCAGACATAAAACATAAACATTTTTATTTCTGTATTTATTTAACAAATACCATTTATACCTTAATAGTAGTTTTTGGGGAGTCACTCACCACATGATACCATTTATTTTGTAACCTAAAGTAATTTTTCCATCTTACAAAATATCTTTTTTATTTTTTTCACAAATATTTTAACAAATAAGGTGTGAATCAGTTTAAATTAATCTAAATATATATTTTTAAATGTATTCTTTAACATTCCTAAATAAATAGTCTATATTTGGGTAGCTGCAGATTGATTGATTGACATTAAGCCATTAAAAGGATAGTTCACCAAAAAAAAAAGAAAAGAAAATTTACTCACTATCTACTTACCCTCAGATGTTTTCAAACTTTACAAGTTTTGTTACTCTGTTAAACAGTAAAGATGATATTTTGAAGAATGATGGAAACCTGTAACTGTTGACTTCAATAGTATTTCTACTGCAGACATCAATGGTTACAGGTTTTCAGCTTTCTTCAAAATATCTTTTTTTGTGTTCAACAGAGTAAAGAAACTCAAAAGATTTGGAACCACCTTTAGGTGAGTAAATTTGGAGTAATTTTTTATTTTATTTTTGGGTGAACTATTCCTTCGCCATGTGAAATTTACCATGTGATATTTAATGAAATGAACATTCATTCATTCATTTTTTTTTTTTGGCTTGGTCCCTTTATTCATCAGGGTTCGCCGCAGCGGAATGAACCACCAACTTATTCAGCATATTTTTTTCACAGCGGATGCCCTTCCAGCTGCAACCCAGTACTGGGAAACATCCATACACATTCACACACACATACACCATGG